ATGTTTCACTTTGTGCTCGTGAGTGAGTGGGCCACACGCAGCGTCCGTCCGCGCGCTCTTGACACCCAGCCGCCTCTCCTGTCGGTGCGCCGCCCGGAAACACCATATATGGCTCGGCCGGTCCACTCATTGGCTGCTTTATTATAGCGACAGTTCTGTTGCTGGAGCTCTATTCTGAGAAAAGCTTTGACTGTCCCAATTTAACAGATTTTAACTGAACACACAGGATGCAAGAAAGGTTTGCGTTTTGATAAATTAAGGTTCATTTTGTAGTTTTTTGGTTCCAACAGCTGATGGGACATATCACAGTCTCATTTGAGCAGTTTAAACAGGAAAGTGGTCATAAAAAAAAAAGATTTAGTGAATTTGATGTCATTGTTCTATATGAGAAATAAAAAAGGTAAAAAAAAAAAAAAATTGAGAATATGAGAACATCTCTCCGTGATGTACATGAATCCCATCATGTCCGTATGATGCAGATGCTGCATAAAGTGACGTAGTTCATTCATGGTGGTGGGCTCCTTCTGCAGGCGGGGGTGTCGTTTAATACGTGCTCGCTATTTTGCTGCTATATGCGTAAACAGAATAGCCCGACACTTGAAAAGCTGCAAAGTGCTGCTGCAAAGTGTCAAGAGTTTAAATGTTAAAGCATGAAGCAGGTGCGTGCGTGGTTTTCTCAGCCAGCTCTCGTGCTGTGGAATGGTTCGGTCTCGCCACTCAGATTTCATTCATAAAATTCCAGCTCACTATAAAAGGCGGGCCTCTCCACTATATCTGCACAGTTACCACTTCTGAAAGCTGGCAAATGGAGTACAAGTAGGCGTTCAGGGAGGAGGAGGCGGAATCAGTCGTGAGCAGATTGACGGTCGGATCTTTTATTATCAATTTTTATATGTTAATGCTGTGATCGAACAGAAAACCATGCGTCCAGACTCCAACAGTGATGAGTTCGACCCATCTTCCAGCTGTGGAGCAGCATCATCGCCTGGCGGGGACACCCCTGGGTGCAGCCAGCCTCCTCCTGACTCGCTGTCATCATCAGTGGGCAAGGTAAAATCTGATCCCAAACAACAAAACAAATTATATTAATTAAAAAACAACAGAGTGATGAATTGTGCGCGTTTAAATGTCAGCTTCTTTTAGGGAATATTCCCAGAGTTTATTATTTTTTCCTTATTTTACGCTGTGGCACCATTACGCGCGTCATTTGCAGATTTAGATCTCTTTGACATTTGTGATTGATGCGCTATGCAAATATTGGTAAAGGTCAGGCAAATGCGTGACTGATCCCTCATCAGAGGCTATATTATGAATTAGAGCGTTATTTTCCTCCCATCCAGGACGCAGCAGCCTCCTTTGCGCCCACATCGCCAGAGCTGAAGAGGATGGCGCAGCCGCCAGCCGCCGCACCGCCGTGCGCAAAAGGCAAAACGCGTGGCGCAGCGCAGGCAGCAGGCGCAAAGAAGGCGAAACCCTGCAACAGCAAGAAAGGGCAAAGAGAGCAGGTATGACTGCATGAACCAAGAGGCATTAACCAATTAAGTAATAGCCAATTAGTCTCTAAATTACGCACAAATTCCAGGAGCCTTTGAACTCCATCTCCTCTCCCCCCAATAAAGGTTAATGCGAGAACACGCTTTATATCGCGAGATTTTACTAAAAAACGTGAAAAGCCAATTGCAATTAAGTCTCCAGACAAATAAACGAGTTGCATAAATTAGGAACACGGTAAGTGGCTCGCGCGCCCGGAGGTGTGTATTTAATGGGTAATTAAGGCTGAAGGAGCACTGCTGTGTTAATTATGAATGAGGGGAGGAAATTGCCTGAGAACGTGCCATCGCGTTCCTGCGCGTGCCTGTGCGGTGCAGCATTTCAGAGAGAGAGAGAGAGAGAGAGAGAGACTGCACCGACTAGATCAGTATTCCCAGCACTCTCTGCTAAAGAGGATTTTCTCCATTTTTTGGCGGAGGAGATGGTGTTGTGGAGCCAATAACTGCAGATATGGCCAGAATTGGCAGGATGCTCACATAACTTATTTTTTCCTTTGTTTCTTCTGATTGATTTCAGCCTTCCAAAGAGGATGATGAGAGAAGGAGGATCAGGAGGGAGAGGAACAAGATTGCTGCAGCGAAGTGTCGGAACAGGCGGAGGGAGCTGATAGACACTCTTCAAGCTGTAAGCATGCGAGTTGGGTGAATTCATGCAGCATTCTCAACCTGATGCGCTCAATTGTTCCTGTTCCTGCAGGAAACCGATTGCCTTGAAGAGGAGAAGTCTGCTCTCCAGACTGAGATAGACAACCTGCTGAAGGAGAAGGAGAGACTGGAGCAGGTCTTGGCCACCCACAAGCCCTCCTGCAAACTCCCTGCAGATGGTGACAGCGACGGAGAGGAGGATGGCGTCACCTCCATGTTGCAGGATCCTCCAGCCTCCCCACAGCTCCTGTCCATCCTGGAGGACATGAAAACCCCAGAGATCAGTGGAGAAGTCCCCACCGGTCAAGACATGACCAGTGTCTCTTCCATCCCCGCTGCAGCCATACTGGGGAACTCCAACATCCTCCTGTGCTCCAGTGCAGAGGAGGAGGGCCTGGAGGATCTGAGAGGAGACGATCTGGATGACTTGGTGCCCAGCCTGGAGATGGAAGTGTCTTCAGAGACAGCTGCTTCTGTCCCTGACATTGACCTGAGCGGCCCCTTCTGCCTCCCAGACTGGGAGACCTTGTACAAGTCTGTGGCAAGCGACCTCGAGTCGTTACCGGTCATGTCTTCCAGTCCCACTTGTAGCAGCTACCGCTCTGTGTTCTCCTTTAACTACTCTGAGATTGAATCCATGGCTGACGGCTGCGAGGGCCTCAAAGGCAGCGTCAGCGCGTCCGAGTTACTGAAAGACAGTCTCAACTCTCCAACACTTCTGGCCTTGTGAAGAAGTTATGCAACACCGCAGTGTTTGTTTCCCAACCAGCCAGCAAGCTATATTACTCAGATATATCCTTGTAGTGTGAGCTTTGATGCTGTATAAACTGTAACCTCAAAGGTTGTGTGTAGACGACGTGTTCTTTGTGACAAAGGTTGAGTTCTTCCATATTGTTTCAGTTGTCTGGGACGAGACTTTGTGCTGGAATCCAAATGCATGCAAATACAAATCATCGGTATTCCAAGAAGAGCTGGTATTTTTGTGATTTAAAAGCCCACCTGTGATGTGAAGTCAGTTCACGCTCAGTGTATGTAAGACTATTGACTAAAGTCGTGACAAGTGAAAATCGTGTTACCAACATGTAGCAGCGTTTAGGTGTAAGGTGTCCCCTGACGTGACTTGTCATTTCCTTTAACACAGTTCATATATATTTATTGTATTTTATCGAGATGTACTGTATTTTATGGCATAGTTTATTTTTTTACCCATCATTGATGATGCAGATGCAAAAATATTTAAAAAATGAAATAAAACATAACATTCATTAATCATTTCTTGCTGTTGTTCAATCTGGGATATTTATCCATTAGAAAAAGAAAAAAAAACCAATAAAACTGTGTTGTTGTTTTTTTAGAGCAGCTGAAGTTTTCAAACAACCCATGAGGTGGGGGTCGCTCTCATTTTGGCTATTAAGAGCTAAAACAGCTGAAAAGAGGATTACAGAACACCTGAGTCCAATAAATGTTAATCTGCAGGTAAAACATTAAAAATTAACTTTGGATAAGAATCTAAAATGAGTCAGAAAATAAGTAAAAGGCATGGTTTAATGTATGGAAAATATTTCATTTTATTGCTTTGTTCAATTACAAAAAAGCATCAGCCATGACATTAAAAACACAAGAGACCTAATAAACCTTAATCAATAAACCTCATAAACATCCTCTAAATGATTAAATATTGTATAACTAATTAAACATAACGTAAAATCAAAACTACTTAGAGTACATCAAATAGAACATAAACATCAACTGAAGGATATACAAGAATTAAGTTTGTCCTTGAGCAAACACAAGTACCGGTATTCTCATTTTCATAAAAGTGACCAGGAAGTACAATTTTAGTCTATTTCATAGTAGCTGAATATATATATGTGTGTGTATATATATATACACACACGTATATATATATATATATATATATATATATATACACATATACATATATATATATATATA